ATATATATATATATATATATATATATATATATATATATATATATATATACATATAAATATAAGAACCGTTATTAACGGCATTCTCAAGTATGGCAAAAGCTTTGACTATGATTGCATGTAATCTTTCTCTGGTTCTCCTTAGTGTATTACAGTATATTAAAAATAGACGAATGTGCGCTTGCTGTTACTGTTTCCCATAAGGCTAGCCAGCTTCATATAGTCCCATAGCTAGCCACGTATAGTTAGCCGTGACACTAGACGTGACACCATTGCGCTGACTTATTGTGACCGCCGCTCCATCTACCGGTGATAGTACGAACCTCAGAATCTTGATGATCGCATATGCCTGATAAACGTCCGAGGGTACGGTGCGAGTGAAGTAAGGAAACCGTTCCACGTTACTCAGCGTCGGTGTAGTAGACAAGTAGCTTACCTACAGCACACGGCAAACAACTATATAGCTACTATATACATCGTTGATGACAGGTAGCTTACCTACAATACACCGTAACGACGCCACGACAGTACGAAACCCCAGTGATGGAATTAACAAATGAAAGAGACGTGTATAAATTGCAGATGACAGATATGAAGGAAAGCCATTGGCCGCACGAACGAAGCCGATAGCTCTAACCTGGGATATTAACGAAAGAAGGTTAACGGGGCCGGTAAACGAGAGCGGGGATGTGATGGGCTTGGGAGAGGGTGAGAGTGAGAGGAGCGGATGAGAGGGTGGGTTGAGTGGAGATGATAGTGGGGGAGGGGGCGTGGAAAGAGTGAGTGAAAACGTGGGGAGATAAATAAGAAAGTGGATGATGATAAAGAAAAGATTGAGTGGGTTAGAGAAGAGGGTGAAGTGACTGGCCAGATAGCAGGTGAGATGAAGAGAATGTTACGGGGAGTGGAAAAGAAAGTAAATGGGGTTAAGTGGAATGAAAAGAATAAAACACGCATTATAAAAACAAACCGACAAATGAAACATCAAGCGGTTCTTGACATGCTGTGGATAACCTTTACCTGCGGTATGTTGAAGAGACCGAGGAGGGTTGCTTCTTGTATGGTGACAGCACTGTGGGTTGATCCAACCACGGCCACTACCTTTGCAGCTTCCTGGCCCTGTTTGCTGCAGTTCTTTAGGCGGAGGAAAAAGATCATTAAGTGTGCACGGTTTGCGATTTTACATAGTTAGTTTACAACGTTCCAGGAACGTTATTAGCACGTTATTCACAAACTTTATTCACGTAACCAAACCACAACACTTCAAGAACGTTACGGGGACGTTAGTTGGGATGTTACTACTAACCTGGGCATTGAGGCGACCAGGGCTTCCGTTTATTGCCACGATGTACGGCCTGATGAGACGTATAGCCTCCTTCAATGCGTAGGATTCACTACTGCAGGTGTCTAACGCCAGCATTCCTACATGAAAAAGTAGGAATTATACTCTTTATTTGCACCTCTCTCTTACAGTTTACAAACAAAAGCAAAGCAAATCTTATCGTAGAAATTATCACTATTTTCTATTTAAACAAGAAACAAGCGAAACTATCTCGTGTATTATAAATTATTTTATGCATGTATTACATGTATTCGGAATAAGTACAAGGGTGAGTGTGGAGTACTTCCTGGCGGAACAGTCATCTCTTGCCTGACCAAATCCAGGCATTCAAAACCAGCTTCCAAAAAGAGAGCGAGAAAGAGAGAGAAACAGAGACAAAATTTGCTCGCAAAGAAGAATGAATGAACGAAAGAGAGAAAGAGAGAAAGAGAGAGCGAGAGAGAGAGAGAGAGAGAGAGAGAGAGAAGAGAGAGAGAGAACAGAGAGAGAGAGAGAGAGAGAGAGAGAGAGAGAGAGAGAGAGAGAGAGAGAGAGAGAGAGAGAGAGAGAGAGAGAGTAGAGAGAGACGACGAGAAGAGAGAGAGAGAGAGA